AATTTCTTCGGGGTATGAAATAGGTGGACGACGGTCACTTTCAGTTGCATGTCCAAGAAAGTCATCTGCAAAAAAAGAGTCATCGGAATAATCAAAACTGTCAGAAGCATCTGAGTAAGCCTGGATCCGTGGCAACTCAGGTTCTTTCTCTGAAGATATGACATTTTGATTTTCAGTGCATTGACCCTGAATCTGAGAATTTAAGATCAGTTTGGAGATGGATGTAGGATCCTCGGATTCAATTGTGCTCCTTAGTTGAAGATTGATTGAGTCATCCTGCACATATTTTGTTATCCCAACAAAATTAGAGAAAATATTGATAAATTGCAGCAAACTTGATTTTTTATGTCCCACGGGAATATTAATGGAGCTCCCCTTGTGCTTGAAAAATTTGACATAGCAGCCTGATCTGTTTGTTTCTAAACAAACCGTGATATCTCCAAATCGCCTAGACTGCTTCAAATTTGGTTGAGCTAAATTTGTGAGCTGAGACATGAAGCAGATGATTCGGGGAGCGATGTCAAGATTGACCTCCATTTTGCGCAGCTGGGAATTTTTAATTTCGAAGAGGACCAAATTGCTACCTTGGAGTGCGAATTTAAACATTTTAGATTCAATCTTAATTGAGTCAAACCCATCTTCCGCGAAGAAAGAGTATTTTTCACAGGCTTCCACTTCCTGAATTATTTCGACTGGGTCCATAAGAGTGTAGTCTAACTCTTTAATAATAATACGCCTGTCTTTTGAGGGAGAAACGTGGGCAGGTTCTGAAATATCACTCAGTTGTTTTTTGTCAGCATCGAACCTCACTATATCAGCCCATGTGAGAAGTTGTGCGTTACCAGGGGTGTGTGTCTCCTCTGCGTGTCTAACCACCAGTGGAGCCCCTGATATGGAGGTGAGATTGTCAACCGCAGGTCCAGATTCCATAACGGATGGGGCTGCCGGCGCGGAGGTCCCCGGTGCGGAGGTCGCTGATCTACGGCTTGGCTCGCCGGATGATGTCTTCCCTTTATCGCAACGTTGACGGTCTCTAGCGATTCTTCGAGTGTCGCTTATTAGTCTTTTATCATGGTTGTTTTTTTCTCTCGTTCGATGTTTTCCATTGAGGTTGGACGAGAGGTCTGGTTCGCCGTCGAGTTCATATGGTTGCGTTGAGATAGGAATTTCATAATCAAATCCCAAGCTGAGATAACGATTAGAGTTTTCAGTCACCCAAATTGGATCTGGGAACAATAGCTGGTGCGTTGGGAGGCGTTGATTGAGGTGAGGGGGGTGGCGCCGTCCCCTGTTGACCGTGCGCCAGCCATCCTCCGTCTCCCCTGTTTTTGGTCTGAGGCATGGTTGACGAGGGTTAGGCCGTACCTGCAGGCAATCAATAGCATCTCGTTGATGTTCCAGAAGAGGTGGCCCTCTGTGGAGTATTTCTCTTGATTCAGTTTGATTTCTGTAGTTCCTGGGATTGTGGTCTGCCTTTGGGAATAAGGTGTCTTGGCAGAACATGAGATAATCCCGGTTCCGATTCTTGCTTGGAGGAGAAAATCTAGCTCTACGCCAGTAACTAGAATCATGAGTGTTGAAGTAACGATTACCTGCTCTGAGACTGTATTCTTTGTCTCTCTGGAAGCTCCTGTCCAAACACCTGGGATGGGGTCTTCGCTCCTGATTTCTGTTTTGGGCACGCTGGTACCATTGTAGATTTGCAGGTGCAGAATCCTTGTAATAGTAGTATCGTTCAGTGCATTGTGGAGAATCCCACTGAGTGTAATAGTAGTTTTCGTTGAATGGGTTATGGAAATTCCGGCGTGGGTGCCGGAGGTCCATTTCCTGCATTCAAGAAGTTGCCGGAATTTTAGAGAGATGAGTGAGCTTCTCTTTCTGTTGGAGGTCCATTTGCCGGAATATATTTTTCACAGTGAATATGTAACGACCTTTTTCCAATATATATATATATATATATATATATATATATATATATCAATAATCAAAGTGGTGTGTTGGCAGGCATGAAAACGGAAGTGTTGTAACCAAAAAAGAACGGAGAAAATGTATAAAAGAGAATCTTTTCGGAAGCATACAGTTGGCCATGACATTATTATATACTTCTAATTAAGACAATTAATTTTTTAAGATGTAATAGAAAATACTAATCCCATTATTTTATGGAGAATATAAAAATATAGATAAATATGATTTATATTTATTCAGGAGAATCACACAATGTGTATGTACTCGGTATTTACTAAATTACTCCCTCCGTTTTGAAAAGATTTGTCAAATTGACTTTTCTTGGTCAATAACAATCAACTTTGATTAATGATATTTTTAATGCGAAAGTTATATCAAAATGTCCCTTATTCAAAATATTTTCATAAAAGTATAAAATTAATAAATTATATACAATATAATAATTAAAATCATTGTCTCAAGTTTTCCAACATTGACCAAAAATAATCATTATGCTGAACCTTTTCGGGACAGAGGCAGTATTATATTATACTTTATCAGTACTGTTTGATTTTTTTAATTTGAAAATCTCAATTCGTTTTTTTTAATTCTTCTCCTATATTAAGTGTGATTTGAAAGGTAGTTTTGTTAGTAAATAAAAATGCAAAATTTTAAAATAAATGAGAAATTTATATCAATTAGTTTTTCATCGTTATATCTTATATTTAAAATACAAGGACATTTTCATCACACATATTTTTCAACGGAAACTATTGTTTTAATTGGGTAATATCCTATAAGGAAAACTAATTCGATCGGGAAGTTAATAAAAAAATTATTGAAAAACACTACATCAAAATATTTATATATAAAATGCAGTACTTTTCAATAATGTACTTAACTGACTTCTCAATCGAATTTTTAGATGAAATTTTGTGGACATAATCTAAACCTCATGAAAAACATGCTCAAAAAAATTCATAAAAAAACCACCAAGAAAATACGTAGTATATTAAACTTCATTATATGGTTTTTAAAATTTAGTGGTATAATATAATCCGTAGTAATTTTATATATTAATATTAATCGATAAAATACAATTAGTAAGGAAGAAAAATAGAGATCTATCAATTTTTTCGTCGATCCTCGTAGTCCCCTTCTATTCAAATTGTTTGGACACCGGTGGGCGTAGCTCAACTGGTAGCAAGGGAGTGCCACAAGGGTTAGGTCTCGGGTTCGAATCCCGGCAACTGCGATGAGGGGTTACTATGCTGAAAAATGCATAGGGCCTCTGCAAGTACCGGGGACAGAGTCCCACTCTCTATCTGTCATATTGTGATTATAGTACAATTTACATCCTCCCATCGTGCCGTCCGGTCGGTGTTGGGGGGCCCTCAGGGATGGGGTGTCATCCCTTTTTTTATTCAAATTGTTTGGATAATGAGTTGTGTTATATTAAATCAAGCATTAAGTAACTTTTGTAATTTTTTTATAACATTATTTAATAAGCATTCAATTCATTTTAGTATAAAGATTTAGGTTGAGATTTTGTTTTTATTTTTTTGTTAATGCTGGCCTCGACTCTACAATCTACATCACCTGTTTTCATGTCTCTCCATATTTCTCACATTGGTGTTCATATAACTCCCGTACAAGGCCACCATGAGTCCATGACAAGTAATAACTACTTTGTATCTGATAATAATAACAATAAAAGTATTTCCATTCATGATACTCAAGTTTACGGTTTTTTATGACTTCTTATTGTCATGTCACTTTTACATAAGATTATCTCAAATAATCTCCAAACCTATCAGTTTCTCTTCATCCATGATCTTAATTTACCTAGATTTTTTTATGAGACATGCACTTAATTTTAAAATCTCTACAAAGCTCGTCATCATCTTAAAATCTCTCTTAAAATCTCTACAAAGCTCGTCATCACTTTCAAAGTCATCACTTAGAAAGTTGAAATCATACACTAAAGAACATCATGTAAGTTTACCTTGAAAGCACGGGAAACTCAAACATTTACTTTTTTAACCTACTATTGGAGATCATTTCTTACAAAAATAAGGGAATTGATAAATACAAATTCATATTAATTTAAAATACAAAGAAACAAAATTCGAAACGATACTAAATGTGTCAAAATAGTTGAATAATTTATAACATAAAAAAAAACTAATAATTAAAAATTTCAAAAATAACATGAAAATGTAAAATATATATAATCAATATGTGAAGCTTTTTATATATAAACAATGCTTATTGTTATTTATATAAATACAAATAAAAAATGTTTATTGCTATTAAATTCATATAGTTAAAAGTAAAAACTTGTACCGATAGGTACTTTAGAATTGAAAATACTTCGGAATTACAAAAGAATACAAAAAATGGTATATATACGGAGTAATTATTACATAGTTTGAAGCATAAAATCAAAATTACGCACTTCGTAAAAAAAAGTCTACACATTTTTTCCACGTTTAGTCCTCGAACTATTATGTCATCGACACTTTTGATACTCGGCCAAGATCTTTTCGCTTTTAGTTCTTCGACTATCGTGCGAAAGAAACTTTTGATACCCGTCTTCGATGATTTTCATATTGAGTCATTCGACTTTCATAAAAGTGACATTTTTTGTCCTTCAACTATTATAATAATGACATTTTTAGTCCTTCACTTATTGTGAAAAAAGCATAATTGAAGAGCTAAAAGTGTCAATTTGATCATACTTAGGAGACTATATGTGGGAAACTTTGAGTCAGGGGGTAAAAGTTTCCCTCACATAATAGTTGAAGAACCAAAATGGAAAAAAAATTGAAAGTCGAGCACCAAAAGTATTGCTAACACAATAGTCAGGGTACTAAATTCTACAAAAACTCAAATATTTTGTGTAAAAGGATGATAGATTTAATTAATGAATGATTAACTAAATTATTTATCTGGTCCATAATAGCGAGAATGGGCTACTAAATATTTAGTTGGATCATCATAATAATTATAAAAGTCCAATAAATTGCAAACTAAAGTTAAGGAAAATGATTGAACAATCCAAGTGTTATTTTGACCGAACTTGCTAAAAATAGCAAGAATAATAGGGAGGGACTTCCTACACCCACTTGGGATATTCTACAAGTCAAATAAACCTCAAATAAGAAAGAGGGGGGCATGAGTTGAGTGTTGTGTCCGGGGCTTTGGTTGAAGGGATGTCACCAGACATGTGCACACAGAACACTCTATATGGCTTATATACACCTCAACATGGATGTTTGATTGAGATACAATACCTCCCACCTTGCATTCTAAACATGTCACGCCCCGGACCTACCGGACACGTCAACAACCCGCCGTACAGTACGAATAGTCAACCGCAGTCCAACTCATCCATACTATACTAGGCGTCTTGAATATCATTCACAATAGTACATCCATAAACAAACATAATGTAAAATAATCATTTAAATCAGCGGAAACGTTTAATACAAGTGTTTATGTCCACCTTGTTCAGTTGACGATAGTCGATGCACATTCGAAGTGTTCCATCCTTCTTCTTCACAAAAAGGACCGGTGCTCCCCACGAGGAGTGACTTGGTCTAATGAAACCGTTATCCAAAAGCTCTTGCAATTGGGTTTTCAACTCGTTAAGTTCTGCGGGTGCCATACGGTATGGCGGTATGGAGATTGGTTTGGTGCCGGGCTCGACCTCGATCACAAATTCAATCTCCCTATCGGGTGGAAGTCCCGGTAAGTCCTTTGGAAAGACATCCGGATACTTGCATACCACCCTCACATCATCAATGCTCATCTCTTCTTTTGTTTTGTCTACCACGTATGCTAGATATGCGTGGCAACCCTATCTCATCATACTCCTAGCTCTCACGGCGGATATGATACAACTATTGGATTTGGCCCGATCCCCCTCGAAGCGTAAGGTTACCCCTTCATCGCCTTCGAGTTCAAGTATCTTTGTGTAGCAATCGACCCTAGCATGATGCTTCTCAAGCCAATCCATTCCCAGGATTGCATCGAATTCAATCATACTCAGTGGTACGAAATGTAACACCCCCAAATTTCCCACCCAAAAATACATTTAAATAATGGTTTATTCGAAAACATGATAGTCTTGCAGCGGAAAATTCAAAGGGAAACAGGGGCGTTACCGCCACACTCGGTTCTCACATAACCGAGTGCACAGGCTATCCACCACCAACAATTAAAATTTTAGTTAATTAATTGTTCAACTACAATTCTTTAACATTAAGACTAAAATAAATTACTCATTCACTTTAGTCTATGTGTTCTAGCGGAAGCTCTCGAAATCAACTTCAATATGATCCTCAACTCCTGCACAAATAAAGTACAGAAAGAAAAACACAAAGAAACAAAAATTAGCTGGAAATGCTAAGTAAGGCCCACCCAACCCTGTAAAATAATCATGTTTGATACATATATATCATTTTGTGAAAACATTTGGGAGGAAACCTCATGAAACATTTTATACAAACTTCTCATCACAAATCACATGTAAAATAATAATATTCCAAATATAGGTACATATTTCCAAATCATAATAATTCTAAAAGGTCAATATACATAAACCACCAAAATCCTCGTAATTATATTCCAAAACATAAATCATATGTAAAGCCCAAATATTCATCTCAAAATACTTCCAAATACTCATAATCAATATTCAACATAACCATATCAAATCAAGTTAATAAGTATTACTTTGAAAATCTACAAATAATTTACTAATCTCAACCATATCAAATTCAATTCAATCCAAACAAATATAACCCACTCAAATAATCCAATATAATGTAGTTCAATTCATCTCCATCAAGTCCAACCAAATAATCCAAATCATCTCAAGTCCAATCATTCAAACTCAACCAAATCCAATGGAAGCCGAACTCCTACTTTAAGTGTGCACACCCCCTAAAAGAGATTCCAAGCTCTCCGGGTAGTAAAAAGTCCGAGTAGTCGGGATTTTTCTACCGACTACTACTATTAAGCTGGGATGCTCCGCTTTTGGGAGATCCCTGGTGGAATTAGACTTATAGTCATTACCACTCACCAAATCCACATTTCTCCGAGTACTCACAAAAAAATCATAATCCAATCTCAATTTCAAGTATCATAACATCAATCAAAATGGATATAAAATCCAAATTCCACAAAATTATTCACAATGAAATTATTAACTCCAATTCATCATACTCAAATATACCATAAATAGTCCAAAATATAGGATACTTCATAAATAGTTCAAATCTCAAATCTCAATCCAATAACAATTCATATGCAAATTCAAATGCTCAAAATATCACCCAATATAAAAATACTCAAATCTCGAATATATATAATTCACAATCACAATTGATACGAAAAATCTCATTAACTATCATATACTCAAATGATCTCAAATAACTAGTCACAAATAAATTTATATGGGAAAAGCATGAAACTTGGTTGACATAGTACTTACCTTAATTTGCAGTAAATCCTAACCGAAGCTTTGATTGTCTCCAAAATTCACCTTCTAGAATATTAAAATTCTAGAATTAGTACGCAATCTTATTCTTATACTTTACTCAATTCCTACAAACACTGAGATTAATTGGTTATACTTCGATTATTATCACTGATAAGTAATTTAATCAAGTTTCTATATAAGATAACCCTTCTGTTTTTACAAACAGTTCCATTATGCCGGTACCCTAGTTTAACTAATACGAAGTATCATTAAATCAATCCATCAGCCCATACTAGTATACGTACAAACCCAGTTTTTATTATTACTAGTATTACTTAACATTTTTAAGAATCTGACCCACCAGTAATAGCCTTTAGTTTATAATAACGATAAAAATAATACGGAGTATAACCACGTACGTACGTAAGTAGTCGTTGTCCTTGTCGTTGGTCCGGCGGCTAACCTGTTTTTTTTCTCCCCCGGCGAGCTCCCCTTCCGGTGACTGGTTCAGTGGGTTGCGGCGTCATTCAGTGGCAGCAGTCAGGTCTGGCGGTAGAAACTCCGGCTTCTTTTCTTCCTCCGGCGTACAACTGGGTCTTCTTCTCCGGCGACGGTTTGTCTTCTCTGCCGGCGTCTATACAGTCCGGCGCTCTTGGAATATTATCCCGGCATGCCATCCCCCCTTTTTTAGACGACGCAGCATAGAGGTTCTGGCCACTCAGGTTTCCCGCCGGTGATATGCAACTTGTCCGACGATGCACCTTACTTCGACGCACCGGCCTGGGAAATCTCCGGCTGCCTCTAACGATGCTATTTTTCTTGTTTCTCTTATCTTTCAGTGATGGGAGTCGCAGTATTTTTACTGAGGAACTTTGTTCGATGGTTCGTTTATATACTACGTATACGTATATCATATCACTGTGAATAAGGAGTACATAGTATTATTACGTAGGTACGAAAAGACAACTGGCTATGAGAATTATTATTCTTTCATCTTATTTTCGCAGATGTAAAATATTGTTCTGAATTTGTTAGTATCATAGTCGCATTATTATGTAAGTATGCATGTATGTGTATTATTATTCGATGGGAAAGGACAGACAAGTTCATATGGAGGAGCAGAACAAGGCCATGTGATGTACGAAGTATGAGCCATGCATGAGGTATGCCATGTGTGTCACATGGTATTCACGTAATAGGAGGGTCATCGCAATAGTCTCCATACAAATAATAACTAAATTAATATTTTCAAGTGCATAGTATTCCTATGAGTTATATTGCACCGTTGGAGTACGTATAATAATGTACCTCTTATCATTGTTATGCTTAAAAAGTCAGCTTTGTAATTTCTGTACAAATATTATCAACCGATATCTTTTGAGTTAAAAATTGTTAAATTGTCACTTTTATTATTTATGTCAAGGTCCTATCTGGTCAATATAATTATTATAACATGTCACTTTTATTGTTGAAACATTTTTATCTTATTAAAAAATGTCATTGATGTTAAAATTTTATCTGATTCACTTATTTTATCTGACTAATAAAAACATTTTATCTCACTAATAAAATTTATTTACTTTATTGAAATTTTTCGGGGTGTCACATTCCACCCTCCTTAAAAGAATGCTTCGTCCCCGAAGCATTTAACTTATTCAAGAAAATAATTTATTCGTCAAAGATCAAATGATACATAATTCTCAAATAGATTTACTAATTTTGAAAATTAGAAATTTTATGATTTCGCCTATTATTTTCAATTCTTCCATTGTGTTTTGTATTATTTCCATGACCATTGATTCCACGAGTGGGAGGGATTCCCTTCTTCCTTGAATGACACTCGAATACCCTATGTCCAAGCTTGTCACAATGAAAACATCGTACGAGTGTTCCGTCACAGTATTTCCTGGGGTGATCTTTTCCACACTTCGAGCAGTAGAAGTGCATGTCTTGAGTTGAGTTCTTCTTCTTACGCTTCTGGTCTTGGTTGTTGTTCTTCTTCCCGTTCCGAGTGTGCCCTAGCTGATTTAGCTCACGTTGTTTGCCTCCTGGTTTGCTTTCTCCTTCAGTCCCCTTCCTTGCTCTCTTGAGTGTTTTCTTCTGGAGTTGTTGCACTCGATAGTGTTTGCCAGCTTTGTTGTATGCATCGTTCAATGTTTGGCATTCTGAAACACAAAGAGCTTTTTGTGTCTCGAAGTTCAGACCACGTATAAACTTATTTGTTTTCTCGATTTCATCGGGAACTAGCGTGGGTGCAAATCGTGCGAGATTCAGGAATTTAGCATGATACTCTTGGACAGTCATGTCTATTTGCTTCAGGTGTAAAAATTCTTCATACTTCTCAGCTCTCACGTGCTCTGGGTAGAATCTCTTTCGCATTGCCTCCTTGAACGTCTCCCAAGAAAAGTTAGGTTGTCCACGTAACGTTGGGGCAGACGTTGCCCACCAATTGTCTGCCTCTTGACGTAGATAATACGCAGCCGTATTAATTCGTTGATCTGCAGGGCAGTTTATAGCATCGAAGAGTTTGTCGAAAGTGCGAATCCAATCCTCAAGGATGAGAGGATCTTCTTGGCCTAAATAACACGGGGGATTGCGCTTCGCAACAAGTTTCGCTACATCATAGCGGTTTTTGAGACGTTGTTGGTGTTGGTTCTGAATTAGCACACTCCCGATAGTCTGGATGAGTTGAACCATATTTTGAGCCAACTCCGCATTCGTCGGTGCGGCAACATTGTCTTCTACTTTGCTTTTTGTTGACTTCATTGTCTACTTGAAAGAATAATTTTTAGGACACGAAATATATTGAATGACATCAATAATTATACTACCTTACCTAATAACTCACTACTCACATAATTTGGTAAGTTCCTCTAAAAGTCCAAACTCATTCTCAAATGAGTCAATTCCAATCAATATATCTCATATAATTATAAATCAAACATTTCAATAAACCACAAACTCTACCAAAATAGAAATTCAAAATCTCACATTCTCACCACGATCCTAAATATATTATTTCTTAGTCCAATTATTATTCCTATGTTTATGTTTTTTTTTCTTCAAAACATATTTAGAAAAACAGGTTTCAACCTTTTTTTTTTTAAACATTTGAGAAAACGTCTTGTAATTTTTTTTTAATATGTTTTAGGAAAAAAAAATCTTTATACCAACTTGTTGGCCAGGATCACTAGTTGGAGTTTCAGAAAATCTTAGAAAACGTTAGTAACTCCTTTTTGAAAACCGAAGTCACTGAAGGAAAGCTTTTATTCGAAAATCCCCATTCCAAAACCGTAGGTTTTGATACCAACTATTGATATCACTAAAGGAAGTTTAAGATAAACTCAGAAAATATTTAGAATTTTTTTTTAAACCCATAGTCACTTGAGAGAAACTTTTATTTTTTTTAAATCCCCAATTCAAAATTCATAGTCTCTGATACCAACTTGTAACACCCCCAAATTTCCCACCCAAAAATACATTTAAATAATGGTTTATTCGAAAACATGATAGTCTTGCAGCGGAAAATTCAAAGGGAAACAGGGGCGTTACCGCCACACTCGGTTCTCACATAACCGAGTGCACAGGCTATCCACCACCAACAATTAAAATTTTAGTTAATTAATTGTTCAACTACAATTCTTTAACATTAAGACTAAAATAAATTACTCATTCACTTTAGTCTATGTGTTCTAGCGGAAGCTCTCGAAATCAACTTCAATATGATCCTCAACTCCTGCACAAATAAAGTACAGAAAGAAAAACACAAAGAAACAAAAATTAGCTGGAAATGCTAAGTAAGGCCCACCCAACCCTGTAAAATAATCATGTTTGATACATATATATCATTTTGTGAAAACATTTGGGAGGAAACCTCATGAAACATTTTATACAAACTTCTCATCACAAATCACATGTAAAATAATAATATTCCAAATATAGGTACATATTTCCAAATCATAATAATTCTAAAAGGTCAATATACATAAACCACCAAAATCCTCGTAATTATATTCCAAAACATAAATCATATGTAAAGCCCAAATATTCATCTCAAAATACTTCCAAATACTCATAATCAATATTCAACATAACCATATCAAATCAAGTTAATAAGTATTACTTTGAAAATCTACAAATAATTTACTAATCTCAACCATATCAAATTCAATTCAATCCAAACAAATATAACCCACTCAAATAATCCAATATAATGTAGTTCAATTCATCTCCATCAAGTCCAACCAAATAATCCAAATCATCTCAAGTCCAATCATTCAAACTCAACCAAATCCAATGGAAGCCGAACTCCTACTTTAAGTGTGCACACCCCCTAAAAGAGATTCCAAGCTCTCCGGGTAGTAAAAAGTCCGAGTAGTCGGGATTTTTCTACCGACTACTACTATTAAGCTGGGATGCTCCGCTTTTGGGAGATCCCTGGTGGAATTAGACTTATAGTCATTACCACTCACCAAATCCACATTTCTCCGAGTACTCACAAAAAAATCATAATCCAATCTCAATTTCAAGTATCATAACATCAATCAAAATGGATATAAAATCCAAATTCCACAAAATTATTCACAATGAAATTATTAACTCCAATTCATCATACTCAAATATACCATAAATAGTCCAAAATATAGGATACTTCATAAATAGTTCAAATCTCAAATCTCAATCCAATAACAATTCATATGCAAATTCAAATGCTCAAAATATCACCCAATATAAAAATACTCAAATCTCGAATATATATAATTCACAATCACAATTGATACGAAAAATCTCATTAACTATCATATACTCAAATGATCTCAAATAACTAGTCACAAATAAATTTATATGGGAAAAGCATGAAACTTGGTTGACATAGTACTTACCTTAATTTGCAGTAAATCCTAACCGAAGCTTTGATTGTCTCCAAAATTCACCTTCTAGAATATTAAAATTCTAGAATTAGTACGCAATCTTATTCTTATACTTTACTCAATTCCTACAAACACTGAGATTAATTGGTTATACTTCGATTATTATCACTGATAAGTAATTTAATCAAGTTTCTATATAAGATAACCCTTCTGTTTTTACAAACAGTTCCATTATGCCGGTACCCTAGTTTAACTAATACGAAGTATCATTAAATCAATCCATCAGCCCATACTAGTATACGTACAAACCCAGTTTTTATTATTACTAGTATTACTTAACATTTTTAAGAATCTGACCCACCAGTAATAGCCTTTAGTTTATAATAACGATAAAAATAATACGGAGTATAACCACGTACGTACGTAAGTAGTCGTTGTCCTTGTCGTTGGTCCGGCGGCTAACCTGTTTTTTTTTCTCCCCCGGCGAGCTCCCCTTCCGGTGACTGGTTCAGTGGGTTGCGGCGTCATTCAGTGGCAGCAGTCAGGTCTGGCGGTAGAAACTCCGGCTTCTTTTCTTCCTCCGGCGTACAACTGGGTCTTCTTCTCCGGCGACGGTTTGTCTTCTCTGCCGGCGTCTATACAGTCCGGCGCTCTTGGAATATTATCCCGGCATGCCATCCCCCCTTTTTTAGACGACGCAGCATAGAGGTTCTGGCCACTCAGGTTTCCCGCCGGTGATATGCAACTTGTCCGACGATGCACCTTACTTCGACGCACCGGCCTGGGAAATCTCCGGCTGCCTCTAACGATGCTATTTTTCTTGTTTCTCTTATCTTTCAGTGATGGGAGTCGCAGTATTTTTACTGAGGAACTTTGTTCGATGGTTCGTTTATATACTACGTATACGTATATCATATCACTGTGAATAAGGAGTACATAGTATTATTACGTAGGTACGAAAAGACAACTGGCTATGAGAATTATTATTCTTTCATCTTATTTTCGCAGATGTAAAATATTGTTCTGAATTTGTTAGTATCATAGTCGCATTATTATGTAAGTATGCATGTATGTGTATTATTATTCGATGGGAAAGGACAGACAAGTTCATATGGAGGAGCAGAACAAGGCCATGTGATGTACGAAGTATGAGCCATGCATGAGGTATGCCATGTGTGTCACATGGTATTCACGTAATAGGAGGGTCATCGCAATAGTCTCCATACAAATAATAACTAAATTAATATTTTCAAGTGCATAGTATTCCTATGAGTTATATTGCACCGTTGGAGTACGTATAATAATGTACCTCTTATCATTGTTATGCTTAAAAAGTCAGCTTTGTAATTTCTGTACAAATATTATCAACCGATATCTTTTGAGTTAAAAATTGTTAAATTGTCACTTTTATTATTTATGTCAAGGTCCTATCTGGTCAATATAATTATTATAACATGTCACTTTTATTGTTGAAACATTTTTATCTTATTAAAAAATGTCATTGATGTTAAAATTTTATCTGATTCACTTATTTTATCTGACTAATAAAAACATTTTATCTCACTAATAAAATTTATTTACTTTATTGAAATTTTTCGGGGTGTCACACGAAATCACACGTCAAGTTTTGGCCCTCCACTTCCACCTCACACGATGGATAGTGGCTATCTCTCTCGATGTCTTCCCCTAGAGGTGTGGATACCAATAGGGCTTGAGCCATCGGTACAAGTGGTTCTTTGAATCCCCCGGCAAACGCCTCACTCACGAATGATCGTTGCGCCCCGGTGTCAATGAGGATTCTTGCGTCTCTCCCGTTAATCTTTAGTGTTCCTACATTCATAAGCAATGTAAGACACACTCCCCACTTATTAGACTCATTTCTTAGGTTATAGAGTACCCCGGCTATGGTTTGGATGATCGTCATCTAACACCCCATCCCAATTCCATCCCGGTTCCCCCCCTAAAAAATCAACACCGTGCACCAATAAGGGAAAGCCGGCCGCTTTTCATGAAAGCCGGCCGGTTTTCGTACCTTGGTCTTTGGCTCGGAATGACTGGTTACGTAAGCCGGCCGGTCTTTGCCAAAGCCGGCCGGTTTTCGGTCGCCGAACATTTATTCCATAAATTCCCGCCTCAAACCCGCCCGGGTTTCACAGAAACCGGCCGGGTTTCGGTTACGAAGTATTTTCTTGTTCCTAACGAACGCCGGCCGGGATTTACAAAACTCGGCCGGTTTTTCTCCGCCGAAGGATTTTTTGCAAAAATCAAGCACGAAAGCCGGGCGGCTTTCGTCAACGTCGGGCGCCTTATAGTCGCCGTAGGTTTTTGCAAATAATTCGAAGGCGAAAGCCGGGCGGCTTCCGTCAATGCCGGGCGGCATTCGCCCCCCGGTGGATATTCATCCACTTCTCCTAACTTGCACATTCCCGGTTGGCTATACAACGTGTACATTTTAACACTTATGTTGTATACAAGGGAATAACATCAAAAGTTCAAGAATTTACCCGCGACGGAGTCCGGGTTAGCGCGTGCATCGGCCTCCGTAATCGCATAGTGTAACACCGCTCTCAAGTCTCAAATGTACGTAGTTATTCACTCTATGTTTGATCAATTAATAAATAAATAATTATTTTTATAAAGTATGTATAACGGAAATAAATTAAAACTAACTTTCTTTTACTTAAATGAATAATTGGAATTCTCTTAATAGACCCAAATAAAATTGTTGAGGAATAATTTAAATGGGCCGACAACTCATAATAGAGGTATATCATAAACATGATATTTCATCTTAAATATAATATTTTGGGGAGCAACCCAACGTGAGAGGAGATGCCAATCAATTTAATATCTTTTTGTACGGTGCAAGCAAACCCATGTGAAGAGCCATGCCGGTGAATACTCGGCCACGTGAAGAACCGTGCCGGCCAACTAGAAATTCACATCATCCTCGCAATTACCAAGAAGTGACCAAGCAGCAACCTCCAGGATGTGTGATCGGACAAACATGAGGTGTACGAGTAATAATAGGAGCAGCTGCATCACCACACATGCTCTCTGTAGGTGTGGCTATATATACTGACTTGTGATAGAGATAATGGAAAAACACACATACCATACACATACATTATACACATACGTATACTATATGCCCACTCACATCCCATATAGCTAGTAAAAGTTGGGGTCGGAGAACAACTTACGGGAAAGGCTAAGGGAATAGGGAAAACAAATAAGAAAGAAAGAAGAAGAAAGGAGAGTGGGTCCTACGCATGCGGAAAACTTGGCCGGTGTACGTATGTGGTCGTAGGATAACTTAGCTGCACTCCGCAACTTCCCTATGTCACCACCACCGCCTATGCACTGCCGGTACCTTGCCGCCGACCGGTATAGAAAATAATAAAAAAAAGAAGAATAGGAAACCTGGATTCACACACCGCTACAAGGATGCCGGAGTTTCCTACCGCCGCCGACACTTAGAATATTCCGGTGCTAGAAGAAAGTTGTGCTGGGCAAAACTGGCCTCGGCTAGGATGCTTGCATGAGCTGATAACCGGAGTCCCTAGCTAGAGTATATATATATAACAAGAGATTGTTAAACGTTGTTGCTTATCCACCCTCCAGTGCATGACCCTCCTCCTGGGTTTCTCCAAGGACGAGTAAAGAAGACGAACAAGCTGAGCAACAGATAGTCTATTTTCTAAACGCTAGGCTGGCAAAAGTATTCTGCTGAATTGGATTTCTATAGTCGACTTATTTTACACGACTTAATTAAGGTGAGTGATCGGTTCTATATCTAAACATTTTATAACTTTTGGTTTATGTGTGAGACTACCTAAATGTTAAACAATTTTGTGATAATTTAAGATGATATATAAAAGTGCTGTGATGTGTAAAAATTATTAGCATGCCCAAAACCATATTCTACTAGCTAGTAATATTAATTATGTTTAAATTGTATGTTTAAACTAAATTAGTAATTGCCTTATTTTAGGAAGAACTTTAAAACTAGGATAGAACTAGTTACATATATATTAAAATAGGATTAATTGTGAATTTATTGGTATATGACGGGTCATGGTACAGACACCATACCCGTAGTGTTGCTGAGAAGATAATCCTATTCCGAACACGTTATTTGTTAAGTACACTTTTGGTGTATCAATAATCACCACGAATACATAATATTGTTTAGGATGTACTTTATCGTAACGGACCGTGAACGAACTATCTGTATCTCGGAAGGAAGAAGTTCGGACGGACGGGCCGTAGGAAACAGGTTGTGAACGAGTCCAGCTGTATCTCGGAAGTAAGCGTACTCGGAGCGACGGCCTGTACCAAAGTGGGGTGAGAGACACCTAATGATATAATTAAACGCGGGCCAATGGCCATTTATAAAGAAATATTATATGGGCCCGAGTGCCATTAAAATAAAGTTCCTTATAAGAAAAATCTCAGCCTGGAGCTGATTACTTTAAATTATTATATATATGTAACATTTAATAAAGATTTTACATATTATATATATCACCCTATTTGAGGGTCTTAGGTATGAAACGATCGTTATACCTTGCATAGGTATAGCGCCCGTCCCTCACCAGTACCAATTGGACTGACCCTTCGGGGCGACATTTTTTTTCAGGTTGAAGTTTGTTCATGAGACCAGTTTTATCCGTTTGGGAGATTCCCTAGAGCAGACTTGGTTCGTGCTGCTCTCATGTTCTATTTACTATATTTAAAGTTAATAAATGCTCATGGATTATTTAAATTTCTATTTAGGGTCTGTGTACCCATGTATGCCTCCTGTGGCAAATGAACATTTTAAATTATGTTTCCGCTGCAATCTAGTATTTTATACTAGTGAATTGGCTACTTAATAATTCACCTTCTATGAATATTCTTAGTGTGATTGATATACACAATAGCCTTGCATTACCTAACGAGAATAGTCTGCGGATATTCACGAAGGGTTGTGCGGCGGTTGCCACGTCATCGGGTCGGTCCGGGGCGTGACAATTAAGTGGTATCAGAGCCTAAGGTTCCTACTGGAAATTTGAATATGAAGTCATAGGTCGTAAGAGGAAATTCTGTCACCCAGACGATAAGAGTCTAAGGTAGTTGGGTCTTAAGTGAGACCATTGTGACTCCTCCAACTACCTGGGAATTTCTTCTTGTGGTGAAACTTCAATATTTAAAGATCCTTCGATGAATAACCATTCATTTGAAATTACCAAAATCCCCTTCAAAATGTTTTAAAAACCATGAGCATAATTTTTTTTTTTTGCACAAAGGAACTGTTGAGGAATATTACATGGTCTTTGGCTGTTAAGAAGGATCCCTTAACAATCAGTATGACAGTAATTGAAGCCAACAAATACCTAAGTACGTATCCGCCAATTGGCAATTGATACAAACCTAACAACTCATTCCTTTCCTTCGACAGCTAAAATGATAAGAGGTAGGGGTAGAGCGACCAGAAGTAACCCCGAAGGTTTAACACCCCAAGGCGGAAATAATGCACCGCCAAGAGGGGGACTTACCAGCAGAGGAAGAGGTAGACCTCCCATCAGAAGAATGACCATACCATCGAGAGGCCGTGGTGGTCGGCAAGGGGGACATATCAACGATAATGACCACGCTGGAGCGGTAAACGAACCTCAAAATCATGATGAAGAAGTTGAGTCGCAACCTACACCCCAACAACAACAACAAGGCGTCGAGATACCACCACTGGATGAAATTGGAAAAGTTTTGGATTGGTATAAACGTGCACGAAGGCAACAAGAAGGAAATGTACAAGTCATAGGTTCACAAATGGGAGAACAAGAAGTCAATATGATGTCAAAGAGGAACCGGGAAGAGACAAAACCCTTGATTAGAATCTCCAAATATCTCAGGGAGGCTAGAGAACTGGGATGCAAATCTTTCACCGGAATAGGTGATATCTCAGTAGCAGCTGACTGGATCTCTAAACTGAAGGAAACAGCTGAAGATATGGAACTGACAGAGGCACTTAAACTCACTGTAGCTACAAAATTACTCGAAGGAATAGCCGCAACGTGGTGGGCTAGCATAAAAGGGAAATACCAGGGCAAAGTAACCTGGGCGAAGTTCGAGAAGGAGTTCTATGAGCAATTCTACTCAGCATATGAAGTTAACCTGAAACATCAGGAGTACACTGAACTTAAACAGGGAGAACTTAGTGTGAAGGAACTAGAACAAAAGTTCCGTGATTTTGCTAGGTTCCTACCTGAGTATGCTTCTAACGAGAATCGCATGGCGAGTAAGTTTTGGTACGCACTGAGTTTGGATGTGCGCGACCGTGGAAACTTTCATGAAGAAATGACGTTCAGTCAAGTTGTGAACCAAGGGCTAAGGGGTGAGAAAAGTCTCATGGAGAGACGACAACAAGACCAAGAAGATAACAAGAAGAGACGGGTGGAAGGAGGGGGACTCCTCAACCCACCTAAACGGTCAAACTCCAATGGGACTCATGGAGGGTCTCGAGGACCATCACTTCCATCACAAGGGAGGCAAACTACGTCCATAGCGGACTCGAGATCAAAACCCTTATGGAATGATAAGTGCAGGAATTGTGGGAAAAGACA